CTCATCCCAGCCATGGCACGCTCATCCCAGCCATGGCACGCTCATCCCAGCCATGGCACACTCATCCCAGCCGTGGCACACTCATCTCAGCTGTGGCACGCTCATCCCAGCCGGGCAGGCGCGGAGCAGGAGGCTCGGGGTGCTTGACACAGATTTGTGCCTTTGCAGCTGTACGGGAGGAGAGCGCCCTGGGAGGACCCTGCCAAGTGGGTGATGGACACCTACCCCTGGGCAGCCAGCCCCCAGCACCACGAGTGGCCTCCCCTGCTGCAGCTGCGGCCCGAGGACGTGGGCTTTGACGGCTACTCCGTGTCCCGGGAGGGCTCCACCAGCAAGCAGGTGCCCGTGAGCGATGCTGAAGGGGATCCTCTGGTAAGCTCTCGTTTCTGCAGCAGCAGAAGCCTTTCCTTTGCCCTCTTTGGAGGGGTTGGAAGCAGCAGTTGGTCTGTGGCTGTAGACTGACCCCTCCACTCTGCTCGTGTTCTCCCTAACTGGCAAAGCCTGTGTTCCATCAGTAACTCGAATGCTGCTGTGATTTACAGTTCCTCTTTTCTGAGTCTCATTGTTACTGACCCTGCTGGTCTCTCCCTTTCCTTCCTTGCCCACTGGYGAAGTGAGTGTCACTGGAGCTGCCATTGATGCCTAATTCAAGTCCCTGAAACAGAGCCCAGACAGAATTCAGAGAATAAACCAGTTCTATTTATGGCAGGGCCTTCAAGTGGATTCAGGGCACCCACAATGGACAATGGCTCACGGGTTTTTCACCCTTTATCAGTTCTGTCCATTTGCACATCGGGGCTGAGTCCTCCAATTGCAGCTGCAGCCAMTGMWGTCATTGAYTCCAAGTTGGCTCCCCCAAATTCTCTGTTGTTTCCATTTYTTGGGGCCTGGCCCAGTGGGTTGAGTTTGGGCCTGCAGAGGGATTGTTTTGTGTAAAAATGGGAGAGCACTCAGCTCAGTTCCACTGTCTGTGGAGTTTAGAGTTACMCACTAAAGAATTACAGGGTTACGGATACATGGAAATAGAGAACCTAGAATCCTAAGGCATCAGCCTGTGGAGTTAATGTTGTTCCTKCCTCAGAATGCCAATGATCATGAGCTCCCTTGCCTCTGCAGATGAACATGCTGATGAGGCTGCAGGAGGCAGCCAACTACTCCAGCCCCCAGAGCTACGACAGCGACTCCAACAGCAACAGCCACCACGACGACATCCTGGATTCCTCCCTGGAGTCCACGCTCTGATCTTCTCACACACAGAGAGRGCCTTCCCATTTGGCCAGAGCCCTGATGGCAGGCTCGTGAAAAGAACACATTCCTGGGCTGGGATCTCAGTATTAGAGCTGCAAGAACAAGACACTTGGAGCAATCTTGAACCTGGGTGCAGGCAACCCAAGCGACCTTTGTATTGTTTTTCTTGTGACGACGATGAGAACTGCACTATTCCTTTGTTTCCTTCTTTTGAGTTGCTGTAAGCTCTCATGCCTAAGATCCTGAAGATGTTAAAAATAATCATCATTACTATGTCAAAAGGACCTGGGGGAGCAACTTCATAGCTCTGTGCCATGTACTGTCTGGAAAGAGAGGGGAGAGGGAATATTTGCCTATGCTGCTTCTGACCAAACACATTTACGTGAGAGCTGGGCTTTTACCAATCAGCTTTGTGGATTAAACTCAGCTTCTTATAGTTCTGGTGCTATAACAATATCAYTTGCCTTGGTAAATAATACTCAGTAAAGGCAAAGCTGCAAAAGAGGGAAGTTTGAATAAATGTTAAAAAAAGAGAAAAGAAAAGAAAAAAAAAAWGAAAACAAAAAGCRCTGCTCTCCTTGCCAGTCTGAGACCTTGGCTTTCTTTCCTTGTGTGTTTATAAAGATTATATATATAAATAGGAATATATAAAAATATATATACGGTCTGAACAAATCAGGTTTTTTTCAAACACTGTGTAACAATCAATCCTGCTACAAGTGAAAGATCAGGGAGCCCTTTGCCAGTCAGGGCCCAATTCTCTTCCCACTCCCCCCACACAGCCAGCTGAGCTGACTCCCGTGGCGTTTACACCCCTGACCCACCCGAGGAGAGGGGGCATCCCTCCTGCCCCGGAGTCAGGGCAAGGCTGTGCCCCACAGAGCCCTGCAGCTCCCCAGGAGCCAGGGCAGTGCCAGGCACGGCGAGCTCTGTGCACAGAGGGGAGCTGCACCCCTGCAGAGGGATCAATCACACTTTGCTCTTAATTCTTGCCATGAAACGTTACAGCTGTTTTCTAAAAAATTCGGGTTTTGTTCAGAGATTTCATTCCAATCAGCACAACCGTAAGGGGTTTAATTAAAATCACCTCTGTGACAGCTCCAGTGCTGCTCTGGTGGCAACACTCTACTTCTGTGACTTTTTTTTTTTTTAATTGCAAAAAAAAAAAAAAAAAAAAAAAAATATTTTAAAAATATTCAGGTCTGGGGGAAAAAATAAAAAAGCTAAGGTGCTGAGTAGTGTGTTTTGAGTTAGGCTGTGCTGTGGTTCCTCCTCCTGTGCACGCACAGCCCCACACCGCCAGTGTTAAGCCCTGCTGGGGAGCGGGGACACCTCCCAAAGAGCTGCCCTGTCCCGGTGACACCGCCCTCCCCAGCACCATCTGTACCTCAGCCACCACCTCACTCCCCACCAGGGACCCGTGCCAGCCTTTCCAGCTCTCCTTTGGTGCTGACTTTGAAAAGCGATGCCTTATTTTGTACTAATTGTGTTTAATTAGTGCCGTATATTACGGGGTTTTATTTAAAAAAAAAAAAACAGGGCTAAAGTCATCTCTTGAAATATCATAAGTTGCTGTGAATATTGTTTGTACGAGATACTAGAATTTGTTTAAATGTGACAAAAAAAGAAAAAGGAGGGAAATGAGATAACTTTTCAGGTTCATATCAATCTGCAGCTAATAAATCACTGAAGAGCTGTTTTATCCATGCACGAGGGACAAAAAAAGCTTTTCAACCATAATAAATTGCAGGAATATGCTGGTTTTTCAATGTACAGAAAGAAATCTTACTGCAAACACTTTTTTAAGAGCTCGTGGGTTTAAAGGAACATAACAGACGAGTTCATGCTTCTGTGGCTCAGCTTGAGAGGATGGTTTTATTATACCTCATGACTTTCTGTAACCTAACTGTACTTTGTCTTACTAAGCTGGTCTTGAATCTGCTCCTGTTACAACTTTTAAGTGCTGATGACTTTTTTTTTTTAAAGAAAAATATTGCAAAAGGAAAAAAATGAAATATTTTAATCATGGGGAGGAAGAGCTTGGTGTTGTTACTGTTTTAATCTTAGGGACTCTTATTTCATTATTTCACTGAATGGAATAACAAGGGTTACTCAGCCAATTTTCCTAATCCAGTTCTTGGTACTGTAAAAAAATGGGTTAGATCTGTATGGAATCAAATCCATAGCATGCTGATGATGAGTTTGAGAGAAGTTAATTTTTCCAGTAGTCTTGACAATTCTGCTTCCCAGCACTGACTTTACCTGCTACTACTGTGAATTTTGGTACCTAATCCCCCAACTGAATCCATGCAGATACAGCATGTGCCTGTAAAAAWAAATCCAGTTGCAGGGCTAGGGCTTTAAATGGACTTGATATCCTAGAAAATGTCTCGGTTGACTTTTAACAGAGTGCTAAAAGACATGTTTAAAGTAGAGTTTTATTTGTGGGGAACGGGGTATTTTTTTTTTTTCTGATGTTAAATCCTGTGCTTAAGCTCAGGAAGAAATTTCTATTACCTGTTATTTTTTATTGACACTAGCTTGGCTTAAAGTGAGAGAGGCAATTTTTGAATAGGCTATAGTCATTCTGAGCATCACAATATTCCGTGTCTTTTCTGAAACTTCGGGAAGCAGGGTTACCTGTTGTGCACACGTCTTTGTTTTTATCAAGACTTTCCATAGATTAAGTCTTTCTTTAAGTGACTTCCTTCTCATTTAAGGCTTTTTCAAAACACCTCCTTTATTTTTTTTTCTTTGCCTTTTTCTTCCTCCTTAACAAAGTTGGCTTGTTTAAAACAATATCAACAAGAAATGCAAGATTCTATGCAACATTCGTGTTGAGTTCTAAATTGAAAGAATAAACCATTTTCTTTCCTTCAGAACTGCCAAGAATGATACAGGCCATAAATGAGATGTGGTTTATTTGGGGAAGGGGAGGGAGGGGGTTGGTTAGCCTTTTTGTACATTTTGGAAGAAGCAAACCGGTATTTCATTGTTGATGCTTAACTTCGATATTATGTGTATGAGATCTTGTCTAAATGTGGCAATTTTCTTTCAAGGAAAAAAATAATATACAAAAACAAAGCAAAAAAAAAAATTGTCGATATTAAATGGAAGGTTGCTGTTTTGATCTAGTCGTTTCCAGTGGAACAGTTTATGAGATATGTTCTATAAGATGTACATTTTTTCATTGTAACATAGAAATGTAAATATTTGATTAAAAGTGCTGCATTTTGATGAATTTTTTCTAGCCATTTTTAAAGAGAAAACTAGGAATTGAGTATTTTGTGTACGTTTATGATGTTTTCCATTCGCTCCTGTCCCTATTTAATTTTCAGTTCTCATTTAGGATTGGAATTTGTGAATGGTCTGTTTGAGATCATGCCTCCCCTTTCTCACTCTCACCATTTCTACCCCTTCCCAACCCCGTGTCATGGAGAATAAAGCTGATGATTGTACCAGTCTTAAATTATTCATGATTCAATAAAATTGATGCTTATTTATTCAGATTTGTGGCTTCCCAGCACTTTTTATCCCTTATTAAACACCATTTTGTCATTTTCCACTTGAAGATAGTGGGTTCAGTCTTTTGGTTTTGTTGGTTTCTTGTGAGAAGGTGGCAGCAGCCCTCACCCTTCCATCCTGGAATGTTTCCAGGGGCATTCTCCTGGAAAGGTTCTGGACAACCTTGATGTTCCACACAGGGTCACAATTCCCTCTTCACCCATTTGATGGAGATGTTTTGGTTACACAGTGATAAATATACAGTCAGCAAAAGCATGTAGGAAACTCTGACCCTTCATGGCAAACAAATAACTAAAAAAAATCAAAATGCTCTCTTCAGAAAGAATCAATCCAGACACTTCTGCACTAGAAGTCTAAGGATTATTGTTTTTGTTCTGGAAGCTWAAGTCTCTTTTTGTATCTGGGTTTTTTTGACAGTTTCTTTTAGTTGTCTTGTCCTCTGCTGGCTCATTGGAAATACTCATGTTGGTAGGGCAGATTCACACATTAAAAACTTCAAAGAAAAAGTTTAGAAAGTTCTGCTGAAAGTTGATGATCTGCATTCACAGCCAGGACAGCTGACCCCAACTGACCACAGGGATATTCCAAACCATGTGACATCAGGCTCAGGATGTAGAGGGGGGAAGGAGGAAGAGGTTTTTTTTTCCCCCAAAAACTGCTACCTGTGCTATCCTGGATGGCTGAACTGCCTGCCCATGGCAAGCAGGGAGTTAATTCTTTATTTTGCTTGTCTTTTGTGCATGGCTTTGACAAAACAGTAACACAGCAGGCCCAAAGCCAGCACACCCTTTTGCTGTTTTCCTGTGTTTTGGGATGAACACTGTTCGTGTTTTTCCATGTCTTTTCCCAATCCAGCCATCCCAGGTGTAGGTTTTCAACTGCTGAAGGTTCAAAGTGTCAGAGAGGCAGAAGGTGAGCAAAGTTCCAGTGTGTCCCATCTCAGAGGTGTCTAATCCCCTAAATGGAACCACTGTTCAGGACCTGGAACAAGGGCTCAAGAGGCTTTTGGACAATGCCCTTTATTAACACCTTTAATTTCTGGCCAGCCCTGAAGTKGGACTGGGTRATTTTTGTGGGGCCCTTCCAAATGGAATCATTCCCTTCTTCCTTCCAYGTTTTTCCCTTGGGGCTGTGCCAGTGAAGTTCAGAGGGAGAGTTGGGTCTGGAGGATATCTGCTCCATTTGTACCTTTTGTTTCAGTGTGTTGTGAGTGGTGGGCATTAGAGGTTATGGAGCAGAAAATAAACGAGTTTGGGGATGAAATCTCTGTTTCAGGAGAATCTGCTGCCTGCATGCAAGGCAAAAGCCTCTGGTTTTACTGTAGATGTATTTGTATGCAGAAACAAAAGGCAAGGCTGTGTCATGGGTTTGCCTGGTGGTGTTGTGGTGATCCCTGAGCTGGCTTGAGGCTGCAGAGTTAAGTTTATCTCTTTTTTTCTGTCCCTCTGCCCTGTGAGAAGGGTCTGATTACCTGCTCCCAGTCTACAAACTGTAGTATCTTAGTGATGCATGAGTTTCTCCGTAGTTAAAAGGAAGGTGGATATTATGTAAAGTCACTTATTAGAAACTGATACATTCTTATTAAATCACAAAATCGTTGATAAAAGGTCATTTCCTCTCCCAGACACAAGACACAACAACCTGTTAACCAGAACCAAGTATTAGTGAATGATATTTGGAAATCTACTCTTTTTTTATTTGACAATTGCCCACTTTAATATATATACATATTTAAAGTCTGTACATGGTAAAATACAAAATAAAAGCGTTTCTTTATAAGTTACACAATTAAACAGCTGCGTTCACCTGTAGTCTACCTGTCATTTAATTAAAAAAAAAAAAAAAGGAGAGAAGCATGACTGAGCTGTTGTTGTATTCATTGACAATAACCTTGGTATAAAACACCCATACAGAGTAAGTGTACAGAATAGTGTACAGTTCATAAAAGCTGTGCAAAGACAGCAAAGTTCAGTTAAAAATCAAAGAGGTGTATCCACTTTCCTCTGTCCACACCACGGACAGCAGAAGCAAAGTGGAAAACAAGCACAAACTTGTGGGCAAAAAGCTGGCTCAGACAGTGCTTTGGACACAATATCGATGCATAAATTAAAATGAAAAACACAAATATAGAAGATCTCTGCTACTCAGGACATGCCTGTGTTATCCCTCGGGAGCCATTCCAGGGTTTTCCATGGATCTGTTGCACAAGCATGGTGCTGTTTGGGTTGAGGGAGGCAGTGCTTGCTCTGTGTCTCTCAAGGTTCTTTATTTTCAGGTAAAGGTTGTTAGGTCAGACAAGCCTTCAGTAGCAGCTGAAGCAATATAGTAGTGGAAACTCACTTGAAAGATAATCAAAATGGTCACGCCATCTCTGTTGTATTTTTTTGATGTTTTTCTATCWGGGGGAAAGAATTTCCCTTCTTCAGGGAACCTTCCCTTTCCTCCCTGCTGGAAAGCCAGGAGCTGCCTGCTGTCTGGGTTTTGGGAGAGGGGAGGTGGCTGAGAAAATATTGATTGCTAAGCAGAGAGTCATGAAGAGTTTGGCAGAATTTAGGAACATGAAAACCTCCACACGGGGCAACACATGAGGAACACCAGGAGAGGGAAGCCTTGCAGCTATGGTGATAAAGAACCTGCGCTGAGGCAGCGTGTGG